ATATAGATACGACAAATAAGACGTGCGCATAAAACTGAGGAGATCTGGGAAGGTGTGGAGAAAGTTTAAGAAAGCGAACAGCACAAACTATTTTTCGAAAAGAGTTGCCAGTCGTTTAAACACGCGATAATAATAATACACATTTAACTAAGACAACTAAACTGAGGAGATCTAGGAAAATTTATACTTAAGTGTTTTTCGAATAGAATTGCCGTTATGCTTAAAAACTTTAATTCAACAATAAACAACATATTGTAATATTGGTTTCACTTGGAAGCTCAAGCTTATCGAACTGGTGGGAATAGAAAATAAACACCTGACTAAGTTTCTATTGGCCACAAAGCGCTTTCTTGACTTATAAGTCCGTATATATTTTCGTGGCGCCACAACAACAACAACAGTACATATATACATTCACAGTAGCATTCCATGTCTGGATCTGCCATAAAACCTAGCCCGAACTAATATGGGTGTTAATTTAATTTCAAAGTTTTTTAGGTGGTTGCCAGCTGTTTACAAATTATATGGCAATAAAATTTATCAAATAAGTATTGTTTAGCTATATAAATATTTTAAATTCAAATTATAGAGATTCAAGAGGGTTTACAATCGAAGATATTTTGATTAAAGGGTTGCCACCTTTTAAAATTTTAAACCTCATAAGATTTATAACACGAAAACGTTATAAAAATAGGGATTTCAAGCCAAAGAGTCTTAAAATTTAAAATACTTTTGAGTGGGTTGCCTCCTATTTACATATTTGACACGAATTAATGATTAATTTATTAGATGAACACTTGTTACAATAAAAGAACTAAGGRGTGTAGTGTTTTTAAATTAAATTAAATGATTATATTAAGGACTTACTCTGGTAATATTTTTGAAAAGAGTTGCCACACATTTGTAAAATAAAAATAAAATTGTATAACAATGATGTCAAATATTTTAAGGTTTAAAAATATTGCTGTCTATTTATAAATTTTTATGAAATTAGTGATTAATTTTTGAGATAAATATTTGTTGCAATAGGAAATGAGAAATATTGTTAAATTAAATGAACGATTTTTTTATGTAATACTCTTGAGAAGAGTTGCCAATCAGTTGGAAACGAAGTTGGAATCAAACAAAAGGTATCTGAGAGCTCGTTAATATGCATAAACACACTTTCTATTATCACACTTGGTCGACAGTTTCATTAAAAGGTTCCAATGCATTTATATCGAAAATTATTATGTATTAATGGCAAACCAAACAACAACATTCTAATTAATATATTCATTGAAAAATTCTTATGTAACCATTTTTATAGCACAATAATTGGCAAGTAATGGAGCATTACTTTCTCACAAGTCACAATCAATAATACAGTCAGTACAATAACGGTAATTAAATAAAATTTTCTTATGAAGCTGCAACATTCGATTTATTAAAAATCTGTTTAAATCTTTTTCTTTCTCTCACAGCACACACTAGAGCGACGCTGATTGCTTATCGATAGTGAAAAGTATGGTAATAATAATAATCAATTTAATTATATGGATATTACATAAATGTATGTATGAAAATACATGTTTTTATTCGAGTACATAACTGCATATTAATGTAATCGTTTATACTCGCTTATCGTACTAATTTAATTGAGTGATGACGAGCATACGATGTGGAAAAAAAATTAAACGTGCTGAATAAGCAAAATTTATTTTAAATTAATAATAATAATATGGAAAAACGGCAATTAAAATGAAATAAGCAAAAAATGAGAATATAATCAAAATAAATGAGCAAACGTTCAATGCACTTTTTAAAGTTTCAACGCCGTTAAGCGTGTCATACTTTTTCAACGGTGTGTATTTTTTCAGAATGCTTTATAATTTTTATACTCTTGCAACCTGTTGCTAGAGAATTTTATAGTTTTGTTCACCTAACGGTTGTACGTATCACCTAAAACTAAGCGAGATATAATATCCGTCAATGATTGGGATATACAGAAAGAACCCGTTCCTGACTCCATCTCCTATATACTAATTATACTTATTTCGTTTTTCTAACACGCCTTATGCCGACTATTTCGGTCAGTGTATGAGTTATATATCTTCTTCTTCTTCTTCTTAATTGGCGTAGACACCGCTTACGTGATTACAGCCGAGTTAACAACAGCGAGCCAGTCGTTTCCTCTTTTCCCTACGTGGCGCCAATTGGATATTCCAAGCGTAGCCAGGTCCTTCTCCACCTGGTCCTTCCAACGGAGTGGAGGTCTTCCTCTTCCTCCCCTTCCCCCGGCGGGTACTGCGTCGAATACTTTCAGAGGTGGAGTGTTTTCGTTATACTTATAGTATACGAATATATAAAATTGCTTGGATTCCGATTCCCTGCTTGACGCTTTGCACCTTAAGCTATTTCCCTGGATTCGATTCCTGCTAGTTGCAAGAGTATAAAATGTTCGGTTGTACCCGAATTTAGTCTTTGCTTACTTGTTTTTACTTTACTTTATTTCTTTCTCCCCGGCAAATTTTTCTGCAAATGCGCACACATTAGCAATCGAATGATAAAATGCTTTTTCTGCAACTTGGCCGCTTGGCAAGCGACGATAATCGAAAAGGGTTGCCACAACAATTCATCAAACGCTTGTGGCGGATTAAGATTGCAGCAATCGGTATTTGGGTAGTTCAAGAGAAGAATGGAAATTAAATGGAAATTTCGAAATTTTTTGTAATTTTTTAAAAACGGTTCTGGATTAAATTTAATTGAAACAGTGGAGTAATACTGAAACTCTTATGTTTGGAATTTCGATATCGAAACATAGTTTAGTGATTTAAAAATATATAAAATAATAAAATAATACAAATAAAATTAAAGCTGTGGTGTAATGCTCAAACTCTTAATTTTCGATATTCAAAAATATATAAATTGTGATTAAATTTAATGGAAACAATGAGGTAGTAAGCAAACTTCTATGTTCAAGACTTCGATATCGAAAATGAGTTTTCAAAGTTATAGATATATAGTAAGTATGTATGTCTTCATAGTTATATAAAAGTAACTATGATTTCGAATGTATATTTTAGAAGGTATTCAAGTGAACTGAAGAAGTTTATGAAATTAAATATTCATGAACTTAACTGATTTTTATAGACTTTTCTGTGGTTTGTCATACATTTGAGGACCAGCGTTATGAAATGTTTGACAGAAAATAAGTATAATCGATTTTAGTCAGAAATATTAAACTATTAACACTTTTAACCTAATATTAAATGTAAATTTACTCAAATTATGATTTTTTTAATCTAAAAAGCCGAATAGTTATTTGATTCACCAAAATTTTAACCGCTAAACTATTTTCTTATATAATCTAAACACCCTACTGCACACATAATCACCTGTCGTTAATTATTCCTGTTGGTATCTTAATTATCGCTTAGAGAGAAACAATGTAATAAAGAACTTTGTCGTGTTTATTGTATGTATTGTTTACCGAAGTTTCCACATCGCGAATTTGCGCTACAATAATATTTATTTATTAACTGATAAGCAACAGAAGGGTTGGGTAATTATTTTAAGAAAGTTTTTGCCTGTGAGTAAAGCAAATTAAACGCAAGCGAACATAAAGTAAAAGGTAGTCTATATACATTTCATTTAAGGATATATTATTGTAAGAGTTTCTGCTGGTTTTCGCTAAACATATTGACACAAAATCAAGCACAATCTGTTTCAAATTTCAAATGGCACGTCTCACTGCACAGACTATGTCAAATTTATCCTTCTGCATGTAATGTTCGGCAATAGCGCCATCACCTGTCATGACAGTGTCAACTGATAGCCTCGGCGTCACTTTTTTTAAATATCGAAATGTTTAAATATTGTCATAATGTAGCGACCGTATCCGATCAGAGGCTCTTAAAGCTCTTAAAGGTTAAAAGCACAGAGTGACATGAAAGAAAACGAATTACAATAAATGAATAATACTAAAAAATAGTACAATTTCTCGAATGTATAAATTTGAAATATATCAAAAGCAAAACTCGTGGAAGGAAGCGCAAAACATTCACTGTAGATGATCGCAATCTAATACGCTACTTTTGCATCAGCCAGGATCATCCACTGTTCGCAGGCGTTTGGTGCAAAAAAAATTATTTGCCAGAAGTCCACGAAAAATACTGCTACTCAAGAAGAAACACGTGGAGATCCGCATACAATTTGCAAAACAGTATGGCTCCTGACCTGTGGCTAAATGGCAAAAGATATTGTGGACTGACTAATCCAAATAAAACATGGCGGCGTCAAAATCGTGGTATGGGGTTGTTTTCACATAATTGTATTGGTACAATTCACTTAATTGAAGGCAACATCGATCAAAGGACATATGTCAAAATATTAGATGAGTTAACATTGCCATATGCCTAATGAAATATGCCATAGATATGCGTATATCAACAGGATAATGACCCTAAACATACTAGCAAATTACATTGTGCAAAAATTTAAAAAAAAAAAAAAAAAGTTTTGTTAATGAAGACTAAAACATTCGTTTGTTTGTGGTCACTCAATTTTTTGTGGGCAACTTTTTATGAATTCAAAATATATCTATAAAATATGTTTGCAGTAACAATTTTGGGATTTCTAAAGGTAGACATCCATACAAGCCACCCTATATAAATATAAATTTATATTGTGCTATTTTCATGGCTTTTATCAAGTTCCTAATTACATGAGAAAGGTGTGTAAGAGTATATTAACGCATAATTTTTGTGAGAACCCCATAATTTTTATAAATAAAAAGGAACTTTATCTAACGTACTTTTTTAATTTATTTATATCAGTCACAACACTATTGCCTTAGCGGCCTTACCCATGCACAAAAATATTGTCACCAATTATATTATACATATATACATAAGTTATGTTTTAGAATGCTTCATAAACATTTTTTTGGGCTGGTCTTAAGTTGGTTACAACACTATAGGCATTATACAATATCTATACATTTTGCGTATGTGGCTTACCAACTGAAGACTTTTATTGCTGCGTCTGCTATTACTTCTTCATGCATTTGACGTTATTTAATACACTAGTACACATTTTGCACACAAACTACTATTACACAATAACTTCAATGGCTTCACTTTGTCAACGCAGGTCAACAGCAGCATTAAATAAATAAATACCAAACTGGTGACTAAAGAATTGATTGCCGTACGCAGGTGATTGACTGACTAACTGGCCGATTGACTTTTTGGTAAAGCACACAGCGCTATCAGGTAGCCAGAGCGCAGATCTGTCAATTGATAGTTAAATAGCGAAGGTAAAAAATAAAAGTAAAAGAAGAAAAATTTCCACAAAATCACAAGCACAAGCACTAGAACTACTCACTCGCCGCACTTCAAGCGCGAGCAACGAAAAATTTACGGTTTCCGTTTTTAATTACCTTTACGTTACACGTAAGCGTAAAAAGCGAGTTTTTTGCAGATTTATGCCGTTAATATTATTTTTTTTTTTTTATTTATTGCAGCTTGCCTTTCTTATCAAACGTCGATTGCGCACACTTTATTGTTGAGTTTGCTGTTTTTCTCTCTCAACTATTTCTATAAATTTTTTACTCGTTTTTTAGGCTTTGCTTTTTTTACATTTATTTGCACTTTCGCACCATAAAATACCATAAATTACTTGCGGTCAAATGTGTAGGTAAGCCGCAAAGGTGCGCGAGCAGTGCAGACGAACGCGCGATTTAATGACAATCACGTGAAACTGTCACAATGCTGAAAACGACAAAAAACGGTTAATCAAACACTTGAAGTAAATAACTATGACAATTGACAAGACTTCCACAATTATGTTTGTTTTGCTTTGATAAGTTTTCATATTGTTTTTATTCTTGATTCTCTTTCTATAAATGTTTTTGTTGTTATTTTTTCGATAAATACTGAATATATTTTTGTTATCATAATTTATTGTATTGTTTTTTTTTTTACAAAATTTTCTTTGGAATTGGTTTCAAATAATATTTTGTGCTTTTTCTATTGCTATTTCCACCAATATTTTATTTATCTTTTGTATTGTTTATGTTGCTATTTTATTTTAATTTTTGTGCAAAATTTTTTGTTTGAAAATTTTTAACCATTTTTTGTTGTTTTTTTTTTCTAATTTTTTGCACCTTTTTGCCACACTTTTATTATTAATGAATTATTTTTCACGAGCACACATTCCGGTCGGCCACTGAACAACACTTTGTTAAACGCTTAAAATATTTTCGCACACATTTATTTTATTATATTTTTTTTTTACAAAATGAATTTGCAAATATTTCTTACTTGTTGCCAATAATATTTTTGTATTCTCTTGCGTTTTTTCTGCACTTTTTACATACACGCTGTCATAATACGCGCCGCCAACAATATGTCATTTCTGTAGGTAAATAATTGCAAATATTTTTGGCGAGTAAAATCTTCGTACGCTCAGACGCTACTCTCGCACACGACTGCGACGATTTGTATGCGTTCACATGACTAAAAACAGCAAAAATATGTACGAAAATGATATGAGTGGCCAAGCAGCAGACGGTAGACAGCAGCCGGCAGAGCAGCAAGCAGTGCGGCTATTACTATAAGCGTACGACAACAACAAACAGCGAGTGCCAATAAAAGTTGTTGTGTGTGCGATGGAAGGGAGCCTATAGCGGCAACACACTGATATAAACCCCCATAAAGCGCTGACGTCGACTGCACAGTTATTGACAGTTGTGCTGAGAGCGCACAGCACGAGAGAGAGCGCCAACAGCCCGTTGGTGTGGGGGAAAACACAAAAGAATAGCAAAAACAGAAGCTGGCAAAAACAAAGTCAATGGATAACTGCTGGTAAATGTTGTGTTGTTGTTTTTATTGTTGTTGGAAGTGAGAATTGTGGAGTTCTGGTGAAGAAGGTGCATGCAAATAGGAAATGTACAAAGCTGAGTGTGGAGTAGGCAGTGGTAGAACAATAGTTGGTAGGCAGTTGGGTCACATGAATGGCCAACACAAACAAAGTCATGCATACATACATATAAATGGATGCATATACATATTACATAAGCAGAAGTGCATATACAAAGCACACATACATATTCTTTGTTTTTTTTTTTTGTTTTTGATTTTCCTTTGAGTTAAAGTGCATTTTGCACCGTGAATTGCCGGCTTTTGCGGCTTTATTGCTTGCGCATATTTTATAAATGTACCCAGGTGATATATACATAGTTGGGTCACAGCTAGCTAAAAGGAAATCCTAAAATATGCAGAAAAAATTTAAAGGCAATAAAAATTACCAATACCCAACAACAATTGTTTACTTTGTAGTTGCAAAGCGATAATGTTATATGCAAAATACGGTCGTTGCCTAAAGTGTAATATAACTACGCACATATTGTATGTATGTACATACCTACACATAACAAAATATATAGATTTGGTTAGTGCGGTAACAATGACAACAAAGTAGGTACTACATACAACCAACAACAAAGCAGCAACTTGTGTCTGAGAATAGAGAATAGCGTGCAGACAGTGAGTAAAGAATGGACCCTTTTGAAAAACATTTGTTTTTTATATATTTCGATTATTTATTCCTTAAAAAATAACAAACTAACTCGGTTCTTCACTTCTTTGCTTTAATAAGGAATTTAAGGAAGCCCTTCATTCATATTTAGGATATTAATAATGACCAAGAATCTTATCGAGGTTTAAAGTAGCTAATGCAGACTTTAATAAAATATTATACAGACCAACCAAAACAGTACAAGCCCGTTAAACAGCTACACATACATTGACCCTAATGAAGCAAAGTAATCATAAGTAAAAAAAACAAATATTGAATACCACTTCTTCTTTAGATTAGAAAGTGATTACTCTAATTATAGGTTAAAAAGAAATTAGCCTCTGCTTTGTTTAAAGAGAGAGATTTGCCAATAATAAGAAAGACATATTTGTGTCTATTTTTTTGTGACAAAGTGTACCAACCTTCGTCTCCAAAAACAAAAAAACACACGAATAAATAAACTTTGAATGCACCGCAGCTATAAAAGCCTTCACAAGTGTGTTTCTTATAGCATAAAAGTGTCTAAAAAGATCTTTATCTTGATTTCGATTGGTCAGGATGTACGACACATGACAGAAAATTTTAGCGTTGCCTTAGGCAATAATAATCCATGTAAAATTTCGTACAGATATCTTGTTTTATAAAGTTTTATATACAACAGCTTGAAGTCGATCAGTTCAGACCTGAGCAACTTCTTTGGACGTTCAACCACTGCCGTGGAAAATAGTCCATGCTACAACTTCTTAATTTTTTTGCGTTCGGTTTCTATCAAAGCTATATGCTATAGAGGTCCGATATGAACAATTTGTTATTATTCTGCCTTGTCGAATTTCGTGAAAATATCTCGTCAAAGTAAACATTTTTTATTTTGTATTTTTTTTCATGGTATAGCTGCTTAATCCGATATCGACGGTTCCGAAAAAATAGCTGGAATTGTGGAAGAACAATTCATGGATTTTACACGACAATAATGCACTATCACATTGAGCCTCGATTGTGACCGAATTTAAAGTCAAGAACACAATGAATAACATCGGTGAACCACTGTATTCACCAGATTTGGCTTCGTGGGATCTTTTCTCGTTTCCCAAAATGAAATTATCGCTCTGTCGAACCGGTTTTCAGTCGATCGAAGAAATAAGGAAGGAGTAAAAGTGTCTATGACAAGTGTTTCAAGGGCTGGAAAAAGCGTTGGCATAAGTGTATTCCATCTGGTGGGAATAACTTTGAAGGCGACAAAACATATATTTATGAATAATTATACATTTTGCGTTTTATTTACTTTTTTGTCAATATTTATATATTCGAAAATAGGAGCAGAAAACCGTTAGTTATATAATATTTCTTCTCATCTTATCTGTCAGAACACTAACTTTAAATCACTATAACACAAACCCTCTCATAGAACACCACTGTGGCGCTCAACATCAATTCCAGTTAATGCTAAAAGCCAGTAAATATGTACATAAATAAATGTATATATATATATATATATATGTACATAACTTTGCAGCCACCAACTGTCTACTTTGCTTGCGCTTGGTAATTAACTAACTGTGGCAGTGCAGAACAGCAACTACAACAAAACCAGCACGAATAGTCTTCAAACCAACTGCATACAATTTACCAACAACAAAAACTATACTTATTCCACCAGTTCTCGCAGTTATTCATATTTGTACATCAATCTCCGCATTAGCTATTGTTGTTTCGCTTTAGCGTCTTCCGCACTACTTTCCGCCACTGCTGACTGCTTAAGCCAAGTTGGTGTTATCTGTTCGCAACAATTACAATAACAACATCAACATCGGCTACAAATGCACACTGCACGTAACTCATTTTATTGTTTGCACGTCCGAGAAGTTGCTTACAAATTCACAAACATATGGATATGGGCGAAAATAAGCATGCATACAGACATATACATATATGTCAGTACTTCATTCGTGTAAGTAATTATATGCATGTACGTGAATTTTGTTGCTCTCAACATTGTTTTACTGCCGTGCAGTTCACTTCCTATTCCCACCTTACAACACAGCGGTGACCCTGCATTCATTTGGCCAGTGCAAAATATACAAAGCCATACAAACATACTCTTATGCATACATATGTACGTACTATAGGCTTGGCTTTGGTGAACCTATTTTGTACTCAGCCAACCAAGCGTACTTAATCGGTTTCGGCTTTCAGTTTTGTATTATCCTTCGCTTCCTTTGTCGCTTCCGTTCACTCTCATTCGAAGAAAACTCCTCAATCATTCCCTTTGTCACCTTTGCGTAGAGCAGCTTTTTTGCCAGCAACTGTTGCATACACGCACTTGCCTACTTTTTAATGCGTTTATGTAACTTTAGCTGCAGTGGTGTTCGTGGCAAGAGTTGCCAACCGCCTTAGTTTCCAAGAACTATTCGAGAATAAGTAAATATATGTAAATAAGACGATCGTTCGAGCGACGCACGATTCATAAATGAACCGCAGATAGAGTAGTAGTATGAGATCTTTAGCTAAAAAGTGTTGTTTCACACGAATTTACATAAAGAATCGTTGGAAGGAATCATCTGCTCAATACCATACTTGCACAAACTTTTTTTGTTAGAGAGAATAGCTATCAAACCAGTTGTCAAATTAAAGACAGTTGTGTTCAGTTTACTGTGGTAAATAACTATGTTCGGACTTAAATTCCAAAAATTCGCGTTTTGAGGAGTCGAGCTAAGGGGACACACCTAAAACGACAGCGCAAAAATATCCGTTTCTTGAGAATGACAGGTGTTCCAGTAGAGTTCTTTTTTTCAATAGCCTTTTTTTGACAGATTACGCTTCAGTCATCTCAAGCTGTCATGTTATTTTTCAACGATCGAAAATTCACCTTTTGTAAAGAATGTGTTTCGGGCCCTTCGCTAAACTTTGGTCATCGTAAGCGGCCTACTGAGCGTACTATTCGCAAGACCCAGCATTCATTATTGGATAATTACATGCGAATTTCGACGGTATTGAATTTGATTTGATTTTCGGAAGAAAAACGGATTGCATGGAGAACTAGATAGTGATCGGATCATTTGTGCGAGAGTAATGTAAATGGAAATAATCAAAAGTATCGTTTTTGTATAAAGGAAATCCTGAAGAGACTCTCCATCTCTGTTGTATATAGAAAAAGTTACTGTCTGGTGTGGTACTCAAACTGAAGGCTATTATTGGCACAAACTTTTATACAACCAAAGACGGATATATCAACCTTAACGTCAAAAGTGAGCACTATAAGCAACTGATTCGCAACATTTTTGTTCACAACAACAAAACCTGTTGCCTCAATGCTAAATAGTCTTGCAGCAAGGTCCAATAAACCAAACAGTGAAGCTTTCAAGTTTAATTTTATTTTTCAATATACTATTTACGACGGTTTTTTAAATATAAAATGCCCGATATATTTTTGTACTTTGACCGATAATGTTTTTCATTTAAATTTTTTCTCTAGTAAAACTCTTTCATGAATTTTGAGCTTCTGCTTTGTTTATTTTTTCTAAAAATTCAATTTCCCCTCAACTGCTTCCTGTCCATCCGTTATACAGGTAACCCTATGCCGGATGTTAGTTTCAAACCTCCTTTTCCCAGCTTTTCACTTAGCTTCCTTTGCCTTTGCAAACAAAATTGGCAAACAGAAAACACGCTCTCCAGTTGAATGGCGCTCAGCAATGCTCTCACTCGCTTACGGACAAGGTACAGCGTTGTGCTCAGCTTGTGTTTTGGAGCACGTAATTTTACAAAAACAACACACGAATTGTGTCGGCATCGGCGACTGTGACGGCGTCGCCGGCCACCCAAAAGTAAACAACAAAATCTGCAACAACCGCGCGCTCTCTAAACTGCCTGTTTGCTTCAGTTTTGTTACTTATTGGCCAGTGA